GGAAAAGGTGCATTTCCAGGCCTGCTCCCACTCCCCCAGGCTGGAAAAGCCAAGGCTAGCAGAGTAGCACTCACCACACACACTCTTGCAATGCGGGGGACCTGTAAGTTGAGAAGGAAGTCATACTCCACAGACAATTCAGTGAAGAAGAAGTACACCTTGTCACCATCATCCTTGTTGTCAAAAGGGCTATTTCTTATCACATCAGCATGGACAAAGTTAGGCTCTGTAGAGAGATGACACAAGATTGACCCTGCACATGGAGTTTTGCGTTCCTGCCTGCTCCCCATGGTGTCACAGGCAGTCACTGCAGTTTGGGGACCTGAGGGACTCCCTGCAAGGACTTCTGGAATGTGTGTGTCACACTGCAAAGAGACTTCAGGGTTGGGACTGATGATAGTGCTTAGCTTGACCAAACCTGTCTCATTCTCCTCCGCCTCACAGAATTGGCCCTGGCTTTGGCCTTGCAGAACAGTTCTCCCAAGCTCCACCCACAAGCTTTCTGGAGCCTTTCAGCTGGCAGACAGACCATCTTCTGATTTAAACAAGTGACTTGATCCAATTAGCCCCAGCCACATATGCATATGCTCGGCTGGCCTACTCCAGTGAGTAGGTGGCTGTCCCTGCACATAGCCATCAGGACCTGTCCAGAGATCAAGAGGCTTCAAAAAGCTCTGGGTCCCACTTGCCAGCATCCCCAAGAAAAGCCCAGCTAAAAGTTTCCTGCTCTCCACCCAAAATTTCAGACATCATGAGGTGTTGGATCCAGGTGACGAGGCACCCTGACACTACCTAACTAGGCCCTGGAAGATGGCACAAAGGCTGCATCTTTCATGTCATGCCCAAAAGATACCACATCCCAAAGGGATGTTAGTTCTCTACTTCCAATTTCAGTATCACTTTATGAAAGTCTCTGAGGTCCATTCTCAGGGCAGGAGATGCAATCAGCTTTCAGTGTTACCTTAGCAGAAAGCAAACCAAAAGTAATACCCTCGATTCAAATGGGGGCCCTCGCAGTTCTTGTGTCTCCACTGGACTGAAGCTAGTGAGAATTCAGGACTCTCATTGTACAGACACAGCCAGAAGGGAAGTATAATAGTGTATTCTCTTCAGATTATAGACTTTATATCTTACCATGTAGCCATGGGATGTCAGACTCTGTTTGCAGATGACTATAGAAATAGTTTCTGGAGATTATGAACTCGCTTCCCAAAAAATTGTATGTGGTCCCAGCGTAAAGCTCTCCATCTGCACAGGCCCAGGAACAGGGAGAACAGAGGAATAGCAGATGAGCCCTTTGCTCTGGCATTAAGATTTAAGTGTGTGTGTGTGTGTGTGTGTGTGTGTGTGTGTGTGTGTGTGTGTGTGTGTGTGTGTGTGTGTTCTGGTATTGGGTCTTGAACTAGGATCTGTGCCCTTTCACTTAGCTTTTTTGGTTCAGGTGGGCACTCTACACCTTTAGCCACAGCTCCCCTTTCAGCTTCCTGTGGTTTGTTAGAGATAAGAGTCTCATGGACTTTCCTATTTAGGCTGGCTTTGAACTGGCTTTGATTATTAGAGCTCAGACGCCATAGTAGCTATCATTACCCTCATGATCCACAGTACCCGGCTGAGATCAATTTTTTTGTAACCATATTAGGCCTCATATAGAAGAGATAAGATTTCCCTATACATTTCTAGACTTCCAGGATGCCATGTCCACTTTGTGCATTGATGACTTTTCTTTTACAAGGGACAATCTCAGGTGCCACACTGAGCTGCATGTTTTGAGTCAAAGAGTAGTAATGGAACCAAATGAGAACTTCCTACAGCCTGTAAAATGATAGTGACACAGATGCTCCTCCATTCACCATGTATTTTACCCTCATGAAACCACACTTAAGGGCCAGGCGCCGATGGCTCACACCTGTAATCCTAGCTACACAGGAGGCTGAGATCTGAGGATCGCGGTTCAAAGCCAGTCCAGGCAGGAAAGTCCGTGAGACTTATCTCCAATAAGCTACTAACCAGAAATGGTGCTATGGATCAAGTGGTAGAGTGCTAGCCTTGAGCTGAAGAGCGCAGGGACAGTGCCCAAGCCCAGAGTTCAAGCCCCATGACAGACCAAAAAATAAAAAAAAGCACTTAAGGCACTTTCTTTTTAACTCAAACTGTTGACCTCACCTGCTATAAATTTGCTTAGAAACATTAGCGTGCAGGAAGGCAGAATCACCTCACCCAAAGCTTCTTTTGTTATACTCATATGTGATGTACTATATACACTGCACTGAAGGTGAAGACTGAATGGGTACTATGTGTAACACATCATCACAGAGTGGAAAAAACGTAAATGGAATCACTGGACTCTGGAACTAGCAGGGGATAGCCATAAGACCATTAGCTGAAGAGTTGTGAGACTATCACAAAACATGGGTTCTGTGTCTCAACTCTCTCTCAAAAGGAATATCTGAACACTGTGTACCAATGATGGATATGCTATAATGCTGGTTGCTTGTTACTCCATTCAACGGTGAAATTCAAAACTCTTCTGTGCTAAGAGGGGGCCTGTGAAAAGGAACAGACTTCTTCTGTGAGGGCAAGTGATGTTAGGGCAATCCCAGGAAAGAGAGATGAATGAAAGGAAGTGATCAGTTCTGAGTAGGAACAGAATACTTGGATATAAAAAGGGGCTGAAGGAACCAGAGCAGCAGAACTCACCTACCATGGTAGATGTATAAGTGTGTGTAGGGTCAAAGGGACATTTTCCTCTGCCATCTTTCTTTATCCACAAAAAGTCAAAGGCTGTTAAGTTCTACATTGAATAAAGAAAAAAAAAGGCATCATAAGACATCTGATTTTTCCATGATAACAGTGTGTCTGTGTATAATTCAGATTTACAAATTCCTTGTTCTGGAAAGATCAATGGAGTTGAGAAAATGGGTGCTGGACCACATGAGCCCTGCCCTTGGAGACATGCTGTATGCCACCCAGCTCAGACTCCACACCAGCACCTCAGGTCTTGGCTGAGCTATGCAGGATCTCAAACCTCAGTCTCCTTATCTGAGAAGCTGGTGGCTATAGGGTTGTTAGAAAGGCCAGTAAAAACCAAATACAGGCCATGTTCAACAAGTGACCATAGGATGCAGTATTTTACTATAATAACATACAGAGAATCACATTATCCAGTAATCAGGTAACAGACTTTTTCTTTGGTTAAGTAAAACAAAAATAAAAAGAATAGGAATTCTTACAACCTTGATAACATGCCAAATGGACCTATGGTCTCAAAACCTCACAGTAATTCCAAGCTGTATTGAAAGAAAGGAGAGGCCAGGACTTCAACCATGGAATAATTTCTTTACCTGACAGCAAAATCCCAACTGTGGAGTAATTTCTCTACCTGACAGTAAACCCCAACCTGAATAAGGAATAAAGTAGGCAGAGCCAACTACAAAAGCAACTGGAAATTTATCCAACATGGAAAAGTAAAAACAAAGGAAATTACAGGAGAAGCTCGGGGAAACGCCCCAGAAATGGCATACAAGGATTTCTCTTTCTTGAAAATTACTCGATCAGTAAAATGTTTCTAGAAAACTATTCTCTCTCTCTCTCTCTCTCTCTCTGTCTGTCTCTCTCTCTCTTGTGCTCTTAAGCAAAAAGAAGTATCTGTCTTTATATCTCAGAAACGCCTTCTTCAGTGCACATCAACTTTCAGTTCCAGCAGCAGAGGGCACCAAGGGCCATATAGTATTACTCACTGAATCTCATTGCAAGCACCAGGTTTCCTAAGAGAATTTCTTTATTTTCTCATGGGAAACAGGGTCTCGCTATGTAGCCCAGATTGGCTCTGAACTCGATTCTTTTGCCCCAACTCTGGACTACAGGACTACAAGCCTGGGCCACCTCAATTAGCCATTCTAATTAACCATTAAAACTTATCAAGGAGTCCATACTTCATTGTGTCACTTCTCTTACTCAAGGTGAGACTGGAGTTTGCTTTTCTTTTTTGTTTTCTGTGCTGGAGATCAAACCCAGTGTCTCTTATATGTTAGCCAAGTGATCTCTCTCAGATCCAAAGCTGGGATGCTGTTTTAAATTCCATCAATTGAAACAGTGACACACAAAGCTATGTTCCAATATCTTTCTCCCTAGCCAGCTTCACATCCCATGGGTTCAGTTACCTAAAACCAACCAAGAGGTCTGAGTAGTAAGATAACCTTCTGCAATCCAGCTATGTTTGCACAGGACGTAAATCTGTATGCCCATGCTGTGTGTGCTATCTGCTTATTAGCCATCTTATTCATTAGCTACTCAGTGGAGGGTTTGGTACTACCTGAAGCTCAGCTAAGGTATGGGGGGACACTGCAGAAACTTATTAAATCCAGGGATGGTCACTAGAAAATATGTTTCATTTTCAACTCTACCATGCATCTATATACAAAGAAATGCTCCTTCGCTTTCTGCAGGTGGTCACTGTCAAGTAACCCATCTGGTAATCTGAATAAAAAATCCTTTCTAAAAGGCTTACACACCACGCTCTGAGTTTCACCCTCTCCACAGCAGCACACAGCAGTAGGATAGGATTCCAGTTGGAGCAGTCCAGATGTAACTCAGGAAAGGACAGGAGGGGCCCATGCTCCTCAGATCACTTACAATGGGTGGTGCTAGGAGGGGCATGCAGTGTGGTCAGTGTCCCACCAACAGCTGACAATGAATGGTGACATCTTGAGACTCAGCAATGCGCTGATCAAGCACACATACCACCCACGACCTGGACCTTCATCCTGTGATCCTGAGCCAACCACAGCCAGAACATGAAGATCCCAGCATTAGAGGGCAGCGGTCAGCAGTATACTTCCTAGAATATCTCTCCACCAGTGCCAAGGATCACTGGGCCCTGAGCCCTGCCTTGAACCATATCCTATGTGAGGAACACCAAAGTTCAGATTAGCCATGTAGGCTGCATGCTCATTCTACACCTGGGGAGGCTTTCTGGAGAGGCCTCCAGTTGCCTCAGCCCTCACACTGTGACCTGAGACAATCCTAGTGAAATTTGTGATAGAGTTCACTTTATGTGTACTGACTCTATTTTAGCCACTGCCCAGGCTGCTATGAGTAAGACTGACCATGAAGTGAGTGGTCTGTGTACTCACCACATAGTCACATGTGGGCTTGAATGCATTGGTCCCACACACATACAGGGTATCATATGTTAAGTGCTGCAACACTCGAACATAGTTGAAGCATTCTTTCTGTGGGGTGAGAAACACCATCAACAGGCAGCCACTGAAGTGCTCTCCATGTCCACATATGAAATCTGTCCTGTGCTGCCCTGCCTTTCCTTCTGACTTCAAATGATAGCCAGCAAGTTCCACAGTAAAGGGCCATTCTGCAAACATCTAAATCTTAAGCTGAGCTTGGATACTTTATCTTTGCCACCTTTACAAGCTTTTCAAGTGCTAGGCCAATTTCACTTCAGTCCCTAATTGATACTTGGCAAACACCTGGAGACCAAACAAAGAAACCAGTTTTACTGTTGACCCCAAATTGTATTAAGGATAACTGTAGAAAGAAATTTATTTTTCTCTCATAAACACACAAACCATTCCTTCAGTTGGCTGACTTCCCAAAGCATATGCTGCACAGCAGCCCTCTGCCTCCCATGTAGGCACACCCTCAGACAGGAAATAACTTTTCTTCCAGTTCTAGTCTCACCTGAAGGGGAAGTTGGGCACTGAGGGGTGTCACCAACTGTCATCTCATAATAAGGCCCTAGCAGGAAACTAAGGCCCCACAGAAGGACCAGTATGTTATTTTAGGGTGGACAGTACTTGGGTTGTATGTGCTACAGTCAGAATTTATCTAAATAGTGAAGATTTTTGTCTGTGAGTGTTTTGAAACTGGTGGGGTGTTGCTCACAATCACCCAAGGGGCAGGGAGGGGTTCCAGACCACCCTCTGTCTCTGAGCAGGGAAGGCAGAGTCAGTGGCCTGTTCCCTCTGCTTTAAAGATCCTGTGTGATTCCAAAAGTGCCTGCTGTCCTCTTGCTTTCTCAGGGAACACTGCATTTAGAGAGAACTGCTTTAGGAAAAGTGGTTAACACATTCCTAAATATGTTTAGAAAATATGTGTTTTTTAAAAAATATTTCATTTTCAGCTAAGCAACAACAGTTTGGACTTTGCTATAATTCAGCTGTTATAAGCAATGACCATCAATGACTGAGCTCCAAAATTGGAAACCTAGACAGCTGCAAGTACCAGGCAGGGACAGGTTGGTGGAGTAGACGGAGAAGGTGACCCGGTATTCCTAAGGAAAGGGACAAACCAGCACTATCTGAATGTCACCATGCCGAGAGCCCTGCAGTATGCAGGGAGCACACTGAACACTAAACAGCTTTTCTACAGTTAAAAATCCAAGGAGTTTGAAGAAATCCAATTCATGATGTAGAAAACATTTTTTGAATGCATCCTGTGTCTGGTACTTATTGTGAATGGGTCTCCACTAGACAGGAGCAGAAGGAATTAGTTTCCCAGGCTCTGTGATGACCTCACAGAACCCAACAGTAGCATATAATCCCCCACCACACCACACTTAATTGTATGCAGAAGATGCAGAACTGGTGAGATTAGACAACTAAGGAATACAGGTGGTGTCTGTAATTGACAAAAGCACTTACCTCTTTTGATCTGCCTTTTTCTATGCAGTCTGCTTTTGTCTCATCTGAGGCCTTCCAGTGTACCTATTAGGGAGGGGTGAATGAAAGCTAAACTGTGGGTTAAAAGTGCACAGCTTAAAAGCACGTAGAGTTCAGAGGCCAGATGCTTCTGAAATGAGGTAAAACCCCAGATTTGGGAGGATGGCTGGGGAGCCATTTGGAGCCTTCCTAAATATTCTGATTATCGCCTTGATAGAAACTAGTGGACTGTAGGAGGCTCTCACAACCGTCTGGTTCACTATGAAAGAATGCAGAAACTAAAGTATTCAAAGTGGGGAAAATTATCTTGTAAAAAACAAAATACTAGCTGGGTCCTAGTGGCTCACTTCTGAAATCCTAGTTACTCAGGAGGCTAAGATCCAAGGATCGTGGTTCAAAGCCAGCCTAGACAGAAAGTCCCTGAGACACTTATCTCTAATTAGCCACCAGAAAACTGGAAGTGGCACTGTGGCTCAAAGTGGTAGAGCAATAGCCTTGAGTAAAAGAACACCCAGGCCCTGAGTTCAGGCCCCACAAAAAACTGAAAAACAACAAAAAAAGATAACCCCCCCAACACACACCCTAACAGTTGAAATTCACCCAGTAGCCCATCCATAGATGAATAAAGAAAACATGGTGTATCTACACAATAGAGTAAGAAAACAGAGAGAATGGAATTTTGTTATTTGCAACAAAATGGATAGAAACAAGGGAAGGGACACTATGGTAAATTAAATAAGGCAGACAGACACAGGCAGGATCTAGTGCGTCCTGTTCTCTTTCATGTGTGGAAGTGAAAAACAGCCCCGATTCCTGGAGAGTAGAGCCTGGATCTGAGCAGTACATATTTATGTATGTGTGGAATGTGAACGTGGACAGGTAACACATGCTAAGGAAAGAGTGACTTTGAAGTCTAGTTGTAAAACAAGAAGGAGAAGGAGGAGAAAAAGGAAGAGGAGGAGGAGGAGAAGTAGGAGGAGGAAAGGAAGAGGAGGAGACGGGAAGCTAAAGGCTACCTCTTTCAGGGGTGGCAGAATTAGGGTTTCTTACAGGTGTGTGGGCAGGAGCTCATGGTGCAAGCATTAGGAGTACTGTCAGCTCAGCACCGTTCTTAGGAGGATTCAGGTTGCTGGGTCTCCTGAATGGAATTGGTATAGGGTTAGTGTAAGGTTCAGCAAAAGGAGACTGCCACATGGTTTAGGCAGAAAAGAGTTTATTGAGGGGCAGGGAGGGCATACTGTGCAAGCATGCAGGAAGGGAAAGGGGAGGAGGGGAGAGGGGAAAAGGGAAAAAGGGACAAGGCTGCAAGGGGGCAAGAGGCAGGACTAATGATGAAGATTAACTATATATGGAGAGGGCAGGGAGATGTGGCCTCAGGAAGGGTGGGAAGGTGTGGCCACAGCGATGATCTCGGAGTCTGGGGGAACCTCCCACTGCCCTCAGGTGCGCCATTACCTGGGCTATGGTAGGTGCTGGATGGGGACTTCTAGGGAAAGGGCCACATGGGTAATGGAGGGAAAACAAGGGAAGGAGCTGTTTTATTTTGTTTTGTTTTCCTGGAGCTTTTGGTGTGGAGCCTGCTCTCCAAACCTACCACAGGGCTGAAAGCTGCACAGGACAGATGGTGAATCACAAGGCCCTAGACTCATGCCTTACTTTCCCAAAATAACCAGCACCCCTTCCTGGGTGAGGGGTGGAAACTGATGAAAGATAATAAGAGGAATTATTCAAGACTCCAAGACTTGCACAGGTGAGGGGCCCAGCAGTTAGAAAGCACACAGACCTTCTTGGAAGAGGGGAGCCCAGGTGAGGGGTCTTTCTGAACTAATGCAGTGTGTTCTCCTAGGAGCAGACAGCCACACAGCGTGGCAACACTGCACTGGATATCTAACTGGGACACACAAATGGCTGAACAAGATCCCACTTGCCTGCAAATTTCCCTCAGAAGGTAAAAGGCAGCTGAGTTTTCTCATCTACCTGAATCCTTAAGGATGGAGGCATAAATGGTAACTGGTACTGAACCATATTCCCAGGCTTTTCTTTAAGAAAGTCTACCAGGCAGAATCCTGGGCTGAGGACCAGGAGAACATAGCTCAGAGTCACACAGAGGAAGGGCTGAATGTGAGATGGGCCTGCAGCACCATTCTGTTTGGTGACTTCTGAGGTAAATACTATTTGTACCAGATAAGGCTCTGAAAGTCACTGATGTGTCAAATATAAATTAGGAATCAAGCAGATGCTGGGGATGAAGATAGAGCAGAGCTGTAGAGATGGGGACAGCAGATGCTCACCAGCAGCTTGGAACAGCCTGGGTCAGAGAGTAAGGAAACAACCCCAGGATACCTGGTGGCAGGGGCCTGGCCAAAGCCTGCCACCATATCTCAGCCTGCCACTGAGCATCAAATAAGGTCCTGGAGTTGGGGCATAACTCAGTGGTGGGCATTTGCTCAGCTTGTATAAGGTCCATTACAAAGGGGAACAAAATAGGGCTAATCTGCAAGGGCTGGGAGCAAAGGAAATGTATTAAAAAATCAAACCATTTAGTAGGGCACTGGTGTGGCTCACTCTGTAATCCTAGGTACTAAAGGAGCTGAGATTTGAAGAACATGGTTTAAAGTTAGCCTGGGCATGAAAGTTTGTGAGATTCTATCTCTACTACACTAATAAAGGGAAAAAAAGAAAAGCCAGAAGCAGTGCTGTGGCTTCAGTGGTAGAGTGCTGTCCTTGAGCACAAAATGCTCAGAGATAGTGCCTAGGCCCTGAGTTCAAGCCCCAGGATCTCTCTGTCTCTGTCTCTGTCTCCATCTAACTCTCTCTCTCTCTCTCTCTCTCTCTCACACACACACACACACACACACATACACACACACCAGACCATTGAAAACTCACTCTTGCCCTCTGCGTAGAAGTCATAAACCCCTTGTTCTGAAAACTGGCATGCAAAGCCAAGCCTCCAGCATCTGTCCCCACTTTCCCCATGCACTGGAACTCAGGGACTAAACTGCTGGTAGAAGCACTCTGCTTATACAGGACTTGTGGCTGCCAATTAAAGAGAGAAGGCAGAAGTGAAAAAAATATACTTGTGATTTTGGTGAAAAGCACATTTTGGCCTTGTTGCTGTGGACGAGGAGGGGGCAGTCTGTGTATATGGGAGGCTAGCTAGACTCCCTGTTCCCAGCAAGCACTGGTCTCACCCAGGTCAGCCCCAGAGCCAAATGCAAGAAGACAAGAGGCCCACATCAGACATTATTAGGATACATGGAGAGATGTCAAGACACAGCAAAGTGCAGAATGGCTTTCTCAGAAAGGAAACTGAGTTCAGACCAAGAAACAGCTCAACTAGAACGAATAGCTGCAGTCAGCCTAGGGGGCTTCGTGGGGACAAGTTGATTTCACATGGATTCAAACTAAATCGTAAAACAAACAAAAGCCACGAGGTTTTCTTCTTCTTTTTTGCTGTTTTTTTCTTTTCTTTTTGTTATGTTTGTTCATTTATATAACTTTGAGAGTATAACAAGAGGCACAGAAATGGAGGGATAAAGGGTCAGCAAATGCAGCAATGAATGGTACTCTCTGGACACTATGTAGAAATTGAACTATACAACCTGTGGGTGGGGACTGGAGGGGAAAACTTGGGGGAGAGTCCAAAAAGAAATATATTCTTTACCTGGCCTATGAAATTGTAACCCCTCTGTACATCATCTTTATAATAACAGTTAAAAACTTTTAAAAAAACCCAAAAGAAAGGTATTTGTGATCAATTTGAACATCATTTGATTACTAGTTGATAACATGAACTTTTTGGATCTTCCCCACCCCCCTCCCCCTTATTTGGACAGCCAAGAATCCTCCCCCTAAGGACTGCACAGATGAAGGTTAGGCATGGATTTTTCCCTTAAGGACAACAGGTGCAAAGTAAAATCAAGGCCTGGCCTATGGACCCATAGGAGTGTAGTGGTAATCACATGTTTTGGTCATGGGCATGGTAGAAACTTATTCAAAATGAAAAATTCAAAGGAAAAGGTGAAATGAAATGGGCCCTCAGCAGGCTGTCTGTGGATATCCTGATATGGATACATAAAGAGAAGGTACAATGTGGGTTATGAGACCAAGAGAGCTCGCATACTCTAGCATGGCTGCACCCCACCCAAAGTATAGTATGCCCATCACCTACCTCCAGCTGCTTCTGGGAGATGTTGAGTGCATTCAGTGCAAAGATGGCCTCCTGGGCACCCACATACAATATGTCCTGGTACTTGTTCAGCAGCAGCTCTGAGTAGTTGGATATGCCTGGCTCATGAAACTGCATCAGTTCTACTTCTGAGGGAGAAAGGGGAACTAGCAGAGTCAGGGAAGGAGAGACAGACCCAAGATGGCATTTTTAATCTTGGACAGACCTTGAGTACTGCAGATGCTGTTGGCTGAGGGCTGGGGACACAGGCTTTCCTGCTGCAGAGACAGAACAAGAGCCTTGGAAAGCAGGGCTGCAATATTCACATGTGCATGAGTGGCTTTCACTTATCCAGGTTCTTCCACTAGTGATTGTGAGTCAAGGCTGTGCATCTGGCTACCCTCTTGTCTCTGTCAAATTCTAAAACCCCTATTATGTGATCTCCCAGGAGATCCCAGGCCAGACATCTTCACCTGCCCACCCACTGATGTGTCTCAATCAGCCACTGATTGGTATGCAAAGAACAAAACAATTTAGAATTTAAAGAAGTCTTGAGACAGTTGCCACTCTCATCTGAATGCCAAGTTTCATGCTTGTGATATGAAATGATTGTTGGTGTTTCACTCTGGCTTCAAGGATGTGATTCCCAGGCCTCTAGCTCCCAAGAGAAAAGATTAGAGATGTGGACACCATGCCTAAATAAGCATTATATTTTTTAAAAAGTTGTTTCATCTTTTGGCAGCCCAGGCATCAGTTTGAGAAAGTTTTGATGTGTCCTTTTGTTTGAAAAACCAGGAGTTTAAGAAGCGTCTCAAGCTCGTTATGACATGTTATTTCTCATAGTTTTCTTTGTCTGCAAGGCCACTTATAACCTGTGTAATACTCATCCAAGAAGCTTGACTTTGAATACCTGTTCTTCAATGCTGTGATTAATTTGAACAAAGCAGTCTCTCTATGACCTAATCATCTGTTTTAAAATTGTTTTCATTAAGCAACAGACCCCTGAGAATATATATATATATATATATATATATATATATATATATGCTAAAAATCCCAATACTTGATATTTGTGCTGTACAAAACCACACAAATTGGGAAGGTCCAGGTCAGAAGACTTGTTGTTCTAATTTTATATATAGTACAGAAAGAGGTGCACACAGAACACAGAGCACAGGTTTTGGCTCTGAAGATATCAGCCTGGAAATGGAAGCAGTCCCATGCTGAGCACTTAGTACTTATATTCTCCATCTCTTCAACCAGAGTCCCAGTTCCCAAGACACAGGTTCTGGGGGAGGAGATAATCATAGCTGAGACCAGAGAGCAGCAAATATATGTCACAGACACAAGGCCTGACACTCAGCTAAGGAGCTCTCACTCCAGTCTTCCCCAGTGCGCAGGGCAGGAGCTTGACTCAGGAAGGACCCGAGTCTCACAGAGTCCAAGAAAGAAGGTTCCTTCAGGGATCCCTTAGTCAGGCCCTTGAGCAAGCCTTGAGGAATATTGCCACTTACCAAAGCATCTCTCTGCTCA